GGACATGGGACGCAGAGATGCAAGTGAACGAAAAACCCCTCAAAGTGGCAGAACACAGAAGTCACAGACGGCAACCTGAACTCCCGAGACATGACTGTCACAGTGCACATGCGCATGAAGGAAACTCGGCTACACCTGAACCAGAAGCCCCGGGAACAAGCAGCAGTGTAAGCTGTCAGCTGCCGTTGGCATACGATGAATGCCGTCGAGAAACCACTTGAACTCGGACCTCCGCTCGATCCACATGTTTTGACTCGCCACTCTGCCGCCTCCACACAGCTGGTGGCACTAGATAAAGGACGCACCCTCGCTCGGGCCGACGAAACTACTGACAGCCAGTCGTGGGCTAGTCCATCTGAGCAAGCACAGCACCAACAACCGGTGCCCGCTGAATCCCTGCACGCTCACACCTCTGCCGAACGATCTCGGCCAGGTCGCTGTCCTTGAGTGGCGTGATATCGAAGTCCTGGCCCAGGCAATGTTGTGTTGTGAAGTCTCCGGGTGTGAATGGGCTAAGGGGCGCAGGCGGGTCCACAGAAGCATTGAGGCCCTTGTTTCAGCCCGAATCGAGCCAGTGATTAAGCACCGAAAGGAAACGCAAAGCACTCAGCAAGCCAGCGGCCGCTTCCAGCGACCGAGCTCAATCATACTCGCCCACATCCGAGCTGCTCTAGGCATCTGCGGACCTATTACTACTGCCCGATGCCGAGGATGAAGAACGAGAAGACGAGGAATCACCTCGTCTCTCCCAGCACCGCCTGCAGCGCTGAGCCTCATGTGCTTCCGAAGCTGGCAAACGCGTGAAGTTGATGACACCATACGGCCAACCACAAACAGACCTCCACTTCTTGGGAGGGTTGCTGTCCTCATTGACTTTGATGCGATGAATCAATCGAGACCGCACCGACTGAATCAAAGTCTCGCCCCTGGGGCGAGCAGCCTGCCTAAGAGCTTCCATCTCGTCGCGAATGGATTGCAGGTCCTGCATGGACGGGCCGTTGTGGCTCGACTGTGCCTGCTCTGTGGCCGGTGCAAGAATGAGCCCAGCTGCCGCCGCGTCCTCAGAACCAACCGTGCCGTCGCATGCATGCAAAGCTTGCTCTGTAGCGGCTGGCAGCTGTAACAGAGGAGTGTTCTGGATGTACTTCCAAATGGCTGCCGAGCTCCAACGGCCGAGTATCTGCACTAGATGCACGGCCAGATTCAAAGAGATCAACCACTGGGCTCCGGAGACACGACAAACGTGTCCATGGAACCTTTGCAAAGGCCGCCCGCTTTCATCGGGCCGTGTCAGCGCGATGCCGGCCTCCTGCAGAACCAACCTGAAGCCACGAACCACAGCTGCCTTCGACAGCTCGTTACCGTCACAATCCGGGAAGGCGAAGCGTGCTGCCTTGCCACTGAGGACCTCGAATTGATGCAGTCGTTGCAAGTGACGTTTGGCTGCATGGAAGGGACAAAACTCATGTCGCCTGACGCGGCACGAACATGTTAGGGTCCTTGTCGTAAGTGAACCCTGAGTGTCCTTCTTCTCGCTGGCAATCAAAACGACAACCTGACCATCCTCCAGGTAAAGGTGGCCCCTGCGCAATGCAGCTAGCTCCACTTCTCTGAACATAAACCAAAGGCTTATGATCATTGCATCAAGCCAAGACTGCACATCGCTCGGATCCCAGGGAGCCGTGCCCCAGCTGGACGACGGTATCAAAGGCCGAAGCTTCGGGACCTCGAAGGAATCTTTCAACTGGTCGGGTCCGAGCCCCCGGAGGATACTCCTTTTGCAGTCACGAATGAGAGCTTTCAAGCTGGGGTCTACGGGCACTCGAAGCGTCCTTTCCTGGTGTTTCACAGCTGCGCTGAAGTATTGCGAGCAACTTCTGTATGCTCCAGCTTTCATACTCGCTGCACAACAGCTAATCGTCTGAAATGTGAGCAAAAAAGGCGCCACCTCCCACGCAGCGCTCCACTCACACCATGTACGGATTCGGCTGTTAAGTGGGCCCACAGTGGAGGGTGCGGTAAAATCCTCATGCAATCGTCGCAAGGTAGCAGCTCGCTTGTCTGGGGCAGCCGCCTCCACGGAGGCCTGGAAACTAGCTCGCTTCCTCTGATGCACCACGGGCAAGTCGCTGCGTCTCTCGGGCTGAGGCACGACCGATGAAGAGCTGTCATCGCCCTGCAAATGTTGAAGCTGCTGCGGAGACACCCCGGCCTCAATCAAAGCCTCGCGCTGCTCGCGAACGGCATCGAGTGAAGTGACCCCAGCGCTCAAAAGCACGGGAGCGAGATCCTGAAGCCCCTTTTCCCTAAGGGCTGCCCACAGCTGTGCCGCCATGGGACAACAATGCTCGAGCCTTCATTGTAATAGCGACGAAGAGAAAAAGAAAAGACAACCTGAAGTCGCTGCTGAAGCGACAGACCCTGAAGACCCAGTCCTTGTCCACCAGCTGAAACTGCTGCTGCAGCCAGATCAGGCCGTGACGTCCGGCCCCGGAGGCCAAAGCAAAGGAAGCCAAGACCCTGGAATTGACAAGTAGCCGCTGAACGAAATTCACGTTAGCCACCAAAAGCTCCTGAGTGCTTCGATGCTGATCCAGGAACTGGCCGGACAAGATACACTCGCCGGCGTCGCATTTAAGTGAGGTCAGCAGGTCCCTGATAGCAAAAAGCAAAGCGCCCTCGCGCGGAAGCATCAAAGAGATCATGTCCAACAAGTCGTGGCGAATGAATTCCAGCAGCACATCGAACACGCAGTGATAATCCCAGCCAGAGAGCGCCGAAATCTGCTCTACACGAGCAACAGCGAAGAGTCTCTCCGCCTCCGAGCAGTGCGC